CTGGTGTGACTCAATGGTTAAGAGTCGGCCCACATACTGAAGGGTTGTGGGTTCGATTTCTGGTTAAGGGCACGTACCTGGGTTGTAGGTTTGTAGAGTCAATCCCCAGCCCCAGTCAGGGGCGTGTGCAGGAGGCAACTGATTGATGTCTCTCACATCAGTGTTTCTCTATCTCTCTCCCTCCTCCCTCCTTCTCTCCCACTCTCTAAAACTCAATGGAAAAAACATCCTTGGATGAGGATTAACAAAACAAAACAAAAAAATAATGATGATATAGATTTATGTATATTAATATGGAAAGATTCCCAAATTGTTTTATTGGAAGCTTATCCAACACAGATTCAAGAACAACTACCCTGGCTGGTGTGGTTAGCGTTGGCCCGTGCACCAAAGGGTTGTGAGTTTAATTCCCAGTATACAACTTTTGACTCCCCAAAAGCATAACTACAGTCAGCTTTTCATATCTGCAGGTTTCACATCTGCAGATTCAAGTAATCATGAATAGAAAACAATCTTCTCCATCCACAGATGAGAAACTGCTGTTAGGAATGAGAAAATAACTTTTGACCCGAGGTTGATTGAATGTGCGGATGTGAAACTGAAGGATATGAAAGGGCTGGAATCGCATGTAAGTGGACCCACCTGATTCAAATTCATGTTGCTCTGGGAGATTCAGTAGCACACGTCTCCAGACTGTCCCATTCAAGGGACGAGTTAAGGGCTGCTCCTGGGACATAGAATTTCTTTGGCAGCGCTGGTCTAGCACACAGGTTGGCAAAGCAACTTTTAATGACCAGAGAAAGCACTCAGAGAAGAGTTGTAGGTACTGGCAATTGGAAGTTGGAGTGGCATGTACGGTAGTGATGAGAGCTGGGGTATTTGGATGGGTGGAACACTGACAGTATGCTGCATGTATTAATTAAAGGGAGGAAGAAAAGAAGGAAGGAAAAAAGGAAGGAAGGGAGGGAGGAAAGTAGGAATGAAGGAAGGAAGGAAGGGAGGGAGAGAAGGGAACAGAAGAAAAAAGAAACATACCTCGTTTCTTAAATGTATTTATTTACATAGAGAAGGGGCTGAAAGGTTGCTAAGCAAACTGCTGGTAATAATAGCTTTGAGGGAGGAGAATGGAAAAAAGATTATGAGAAAGAGGAAGGATCATCATATATCCTGTATATGTGTGTATTGCTACACTGTTTCACAATGAGCGTACATCCCTGTACTACTTCTTCTTTTTTAAAAATAATTTTTCTTTATTGATTTTAGAGAGCGAGGAAGGGAGAGGGAGAGAGAGATAGAAACATTGATGGGAGAGAACATGGATTGGCCACCTCCTGCATGTCCCCCACTGGGGATCGGGCCCACAACTTGGGCATGTGCCCTGACCGGGAATCAAACCGGTGACCTCCTGGTGCACAGGTTGATGCTCAACCACTGAGCCACAGCAGCCAGGCCATGTACTACTTCTTTAATGTAAAAAAAAGACTGCATGTTATAGGTTTGTTATAGAAAGAAATCCTTGACATCTAAGGCAGGAATAGCTTTGCTGTTAGAATATACTTTTGTACATTTTTGCATGGTTAGTAGTTTGGCTTTAATTTGGTGGATGAAAGGTAAGCGTGCTTCTCATTTTATTATTATTGTTACTGATTTTAAAACAATGTAAGTACACCTTTTGAGAATAGAATACAATTTCAAAGAAGTCATTCATGGTGATCACTGTAATCTTTTGCAAGCGCTGTAATCTTGGTCTTCATTTTCAGAGTTGAGTTAATGAAATTCCTAGTAGTTTTTGTTGAAAAAGGTAATTGTAGAAATATAATTGGAGCAACTTTTTTGGGAAACACTTTAAGATATATATATATATATATATATATATATATATATATGGTCTCACAAGTCTTAAAAACATCCATACTCTTTGACTTAGATTCTACATACAGGGATTTATCCTACGGAAGCCCTATAAAGACAACCATTTCAGCCTAAAGATGTTCATTAAAGTATTGTTTATAATTGTGAAACCACCCAAATAGGGGAATTATTGATGGGATGCACAATATAGATAGACTTGAATTAAAATTCTGGCTCTTCTACTTACTTGCTAGCTAGCTGTGTGACCCTGGTTGAGTAACAACTTGTGTGACATAGATAGATGTAGATATGAAAATGGGAGTTAAAGATATGCACACACATAATGGAAATTATAATTACCTACCCTCATTGACTTGCAATGCTTATTGATTAGATAAGCCATGTAAAACATGTAGAACAGTGATTAGCGCATAGTAGGTCCTCAATAAAAGGTAGCTATTATTCATGCATATGATAGAATATATGTAAGAGGATTTAAAATTGCATGGAAGTGTATATAAATAGAATAAAATACAGGGTTCATAAATTTTTAGTATGATCTCAGGTAGAGGTTGAGAGAGAGAGAGAGAGAGAGAGAATGAAAATGAACCATGTCAGAGAGAGACACTATACTAAAATATGGTATGAGATGAGACTAGGTGATATTGACCTTTTTTCATAATTTTCTCTAATGAGAGTGTATTTGAACTACTAAAGCCCCAGCCTTTCCTCTGAGGCTCTTAAGAATCCTTCCTTCTCTGGACAGAGATGCCTTCTGTCATAACTCTAAGGACTTTTACTGGTGACAGAACAGTTTCTAAATCTCCAGAGTATCACTGAGGCCAGCTTTTAAAATGTCAGCTGCTCTGTAGGACACTGTTATAGGTTGAATGCCACAGAAGCAGACAGACTGGGGCAGAGGTTCTCATACAGAGGTGATTTATTCAGGGAATGCTCTTAGGAGGAGCCTGTAAAAGAAGGAAAGATGCAAGAAACATGAAGGGAAGAAGTTAAGCAAGGATATGGTTTCAGGTGAAGTCTAGACTCAGCCTGATCCCACAGGGATTGCAGGAGTGGTCGTTATCCCACAGGGGGTTGTCCCCAGCACCAGCCTGCAGCCTGCCTCTGGAGAAAGCATGTAGCTCCCAGGTACCTCTGTGGCGAGGCAGCTCCAATTGCTTAGGAGCGATTGGAAGACAGGGCTGCAAGTATGAGCTGTTAGCAGCAGCTGGGAGGTGAGCACACTGACCTAGTAAAGAGATTCCAGGAGACCTAGATGGGTCACGAGCACCATCTGCCTCAAAAGGGTTCATGGAAATTAGCTTCCCTCTATCCCCACATTCTTTATGAGGAGCCAGGAGAGTAACCTGAGGCCATCAAGTAGCTTGGGTGCCTGGATGAGGTGGGAGATGAGGGGAGAGAGCGTGGGGAGGGGGTGCTCTAGAAGTTTCCTTCTCTTCCCAGCCCATCCAGTGGCTGAGGAAGTGAAAGGGTGGGGAGGGGTGTGGAGGCAGCGGGTGGAGGAGGCTGCCAGGGCAGTTAAGACATTGGCTACATTGAGCAAACAGGTAAGTGCACTGACCAGACGCATAAATATATTGAGGACAATGAGACCCAGATTTCTCAATGTTGGGGAAGGGAATTACAAACATGAAAACTGGAAGGTTAGAAGGAACCCTAACCTTCTGGTTGGACTGGAATTGAAAGTGCTTGGACTGGAATTGAAAGTATCAGTATGAACTCATTGTTTTTTTTAAAAGACATATGCATGGGTATACAGATATAGATATATAGATATAGATATAGATATAGATATAGATGTATGATGTGTATGTAGGGGGAGAGAGAGAAATGGACAGATATGAATAGATAGATAGATAGATAGATAGATAGATAGATAGATAGATAGATAGACAGATAGATAGACAAATAGATAGATAGGCAGATCTCTTAGCTATGTTCACTGAGAGGGCCTAGAAGCAGTGAAATCCCAGTAGCAATGAGCGCACCGAGCACCCAAATCTTGGTTTCTAAATACCATCATCTGCCAAAAGGAACCAGGGCTTCTTAGAAAAATGGCTCACACCAGGGCTGAGCCAAGGACATCTCACTGTACCAGTAAGTAAGAAAGAGCTCATCGAATCAGAAAAAAGACACAGAAATCAGCTTCGGGGGCTTCCACTGTCCAGATCCAGGACAGTTGGGGCATCAGAATAATAATGGCAGCAATGGGTTACAATCCATTGTAAAGTAGAAATCCACAAGTCCTTATTGATTAAATTTATAGGTAGGTGAGTAGATAGGTAGATATAGATAAAAGGGAGCAGGAATATCTCTTCCTTGTAGTAGAATGTGAACTAATAAATGTAGACAGAGTAATGGAAATAAAAATACCATTTGTTACCATCATAGGGGTGATTTATGCAGGCAGAAAAAAAAATCAATAGATGGGATGCTTAAACTGGTGGGTAGAGGTTCTATGGGTAACAGGATTTGGGTATAATCTCTGAGTGTTCCCTCACAGACTATTTATTAATCACAAATGGAAAAATGATCACTTTAGGGTGGAAAAATCTGTCAGACACCAACTTGATCCGGAGATGGAAGTATCACCCATGATAAGATGGGTTGACATCATGTCCCCTGATATCAGCCACTGGGGAGAGAGGCATTACTGTGGGGTTCCTGCCAAGAAAACGAGGCCTGATTCTGGTCACGAGGAGACATCAGATGGATCCGGGATGAAGGTCACCCTATAGAATGAAAGGCCTCTACTCTTTAAGGTTACTTGGGACTTCAGTGATGGAGAAAGCCGGAGAGTGGTTCTAGAATGAAGTTGTCCATCATCCCACCATCCAGTTTCCCCCTGGGTTGTGGAGAGGGCTTAATAAACGCATTATTAAATTTGAAAACCATTTGGGGAGTTAGTTAGAAATGCAGATGCCAGGGCCCCACCCCTGAAAATCTGTTTCTGAAGGTCTGGGGTGGGACCTGGGGAATTTACATCTAAAGTCATCATCCCAGGAAATTCTGATGTAAGTGGTCTACGGACCACACTTGGTGGAATGTTGGCCTAGAAATTCAGAAAGCTGTAGCCATCCTCCCGCTCAGTCCTGACCTTAACCCCCTTTCTGTCTCTGCTCTCCCAGGGTGACGCTGTATGCCGAGTTCCTTCCCATGAAAGCCAGAGCTAAGTGTATTTTGCTGATTGAGGTAAGGAGGTTGACTGGGTTTCTGGAGAATTCTCAGCCTCTGGCATGAGGTTCTCAGGTGTCTTGAGCCACAAGACAAGGAAAAGGGAGTTTAAGAAAAATACGACAGACTCCGTATGCAAAGACTTCAATGGATCAGTAATGTTGATTTTGACATGGTTGTTTTGAAATACGGATACGTTCTTCAATTGACAGGAAAATTCAATCTACCATCCCTTTAAAAAAAATGGTGGTTGCCAGGTGGTATGTCCTTGAAAATCTGAGAGTTGGTGCCGAATGGCACAGCTTGAGAGGACCCTGTGCCCGTGTCATCCCATTCCAACTCACCTGTGTCTTGTCTGAGATCTCCATTCAGGGCCACCTCTGTGGCCTTATGGGCCGCTTTAAAACTCTCTTGGTCCAAGCCCTCCTTCTGCCAGGGTCCTGTGACCCATTTTTCAACCATGATCTGGAAGATCTCAGGGCAAATTTAGAGCTGTCCAATGGCCCCTCCTCCACACAGTGACAGAATGGTATATTTGTCCCCACTGGACACTGATGTCCACAATGATGACTGCGATGCCACTGACCTCCCTAGTCACCATGACTTACTTCACTGATGATATTGATCACATTGATCCCGTAGCCCAACTTCACCGTCCTGACTGCATCCAACCCTGACCAATCAGGATGGTCGTCAGCTGGTCCACACCGTGTGGATGAACCAGTTGTTTAAATATTGAACACCATCTGTGACAGCTGATTCTGAACCTTGACTACCCCTCATCACCTGACACCTTGTCCTGTCTTAGGATCCCCCCCTCTAGAACTCTTCATGACCCAGCAACTAAAGAGTTAACTCCTGGCCTAGTCAGTGGTGGTGGAGAAAGTGTATGACCAGTGTCCATTCTGATCCGTCAGTGCCATACCAGTAGTTAGGCATTTTGACTGTCACCCTGATTGTCAGCGACAGAAACGGACCGTGGATAATTTAAGCAAAAGGAGATTTAGGAAGGTTCTTGGGGGCCCCCAAACTGTTGGGATAGCTGACGGACCGCTTTTGGACTGGACAATAGTTGTAAAGTCAGGGTCGCAGCAGAAAACAGCATGCTCAGATGAGGGATATTTGAAGAGGGTTTCACAAAGGGACTATTTTTAAAGGCCTTGCAGGGGCTATTAGCACCCAGGCCTGAAGGTGACCACCTGCTGTTCACTATATTTTGGTGGGGAAAGGGTGGAGGAGGGCACCAAAGCCACCTTTAAATTAGGAAATGAGACAAAGGACCCGGGCCTGAGGTAGGCTCAGTATGGAGTACTTGGTTTCCTCCAGACCAACACTGCTGGGATGTTTGGGAGTAATCAGCAGCCAAGAGAGAGAGAGAGAGGGCGGGGGCGGGGGCGATGGGGTGGGAGGGAGGATTGTTAGATGGGAGCTATAACCTTCAGGTGAGGGACGCAGCCAGCCCATGACTGCCCTGCAGAGAGGGATCCAGAGGGATGAACCCCGATCTCTCTTTATTTCTGCCCTCCTTCCCATCCCTGTCGGGGTCCCCGTTGGCTGCACCCAGTGGGAAGCCAGAGGACTGGGAGCCTGTGGTGCAAGTTAAAAAAGAACGGAGAGCGACTGGGAGAGACAGCAGAGAACACGCAGCCCACAGGAAAGAAGCAGTTCTGGTGAAGGATACGGGGCACTGCTGGGCAGGGGGAAAGGATGTCAGTGGACAAAAACTAACGTGTCCACAACCATACCGACCTCACACAATACTGATCCTATGAGCTCCTTAACCGGAGATGCCAGAGCACACAGTCCAGTGAGTGCCATGCAAATATTACATATCGTGCACGGTGCCCTCAGATGGACAGTGTGGGGGCTGTGGCCCAACATGTAAACCACAGGAAAACTATGGCCATTCTGACCTGCCGACCCCAAGGACCCTGTACCCACGTGGATGCCCTTGTCTACAATGGCCCTGAAGTGGCTCACTGTGTGGACCAAGCCTGCCCCCATCACTAACCCCCATTCTTCTGCGCCAGGTGTTCTGGGCCTTCGGGACCGTGTTCGAGGTGGTCCTGGCTGTGTTTGTGATGCCCAGCCTGGGCTGGCGTTGGCTGCTTCTCCTCTCGGCTGTCCCGCTCCTCATCTTTGCTGTCCTGTGTTTTGTAGGTATCCTTAAAAAAATCCCAGCCCTCGCTGCGTGACCACCTGCTGTTTGCTAGAGTTGGGTGGGGAGGGGATAGAGGAGGGCACTGAAGCCACGTTTTTCGATTACTAATTTTTTAAATTAGGAGATGAGACAAAGGAACCGGGCCTGAGGTAGGCTCAGTGTGTACTGGTTTCCCCCAGACAGTGAGATAACAGGGGATGGAGGGGTACCTAGGTCCCACCACTGCAAGATACACAATTAAGGTAACTGTATTAGAATAGCTGGGACTCTTAAGTTGCAAGCGACAGAAACCCAACCCAAACTGGCTTGAGTAAAAGAGACAGACACATGACAGAGGATTAAATATTTGCATGGTTGGGTCCAGAAGCTCAAATGATCTCTCCATCTCAGCTCTGTATAAACGACACCCCCTCCCCACGAGATCATGCCACATCCTTTATCATTTCATGTGTAGACCACAAATATGACATACTTTAAAGCCAGTGAGTCCCAAAATAAGCTTTTAGGTGGGTAGGTCTCATCTATGGTAAATAATATAATAACTCCTGGTCATGACAATAGGTATTAATAATTACTGAGCATAACTGAGTAGCAGGCTCTGTGTTAGGCTCTTTACATGCATTATCATATTTATTCCTCCTAGTAACCATAGGAGATGAAATTGTGATGAAAACCTGTATTGGTTAGGATAATACCAGATGCTGTAACAAATAAAGCCCACATATTTAGTAATGTAATACAATTGTTTCTCACTCAATAGTTCAGAATGGGTGCTCCTGTTTGGCAAGTATGGTTCCCAGTCCAGGTTCCCACTAGCTTGTTAATCCTCACTTGAGGATATTTTTCCTTTTTTTTTTTTTGAGATAGTTTGGAAGGGAGGGAGGGAAAGAGAGAGAAACAATGATGTGAGAGAGACATATTGATTGGTTGCCTCCTGCATGCACCCTGACTGGGACTAGGGATCGAACCTGCAATGCAGCTATGTGCCCTTGACTTGGAATTGAACCCCAGACCCTTTGGTCCTCAGGCTGATGCTCTAACTGCTGAGTAAACTGTCCAGGGTGTTCCTGTTAGCTTGTAGCTCTGTCATCCTCTAGATCTTTGGAATCATCTACATGCAGACTGGGGAAGGGTGGATGGAGATGCACATACACTTCTTAAATACCTTTGCCAGGAATATTCTGCCCATATGCTATTGGTGAAAGTATGGCCTCACCTAGATGCAAGGGGGTTTGGGAAATGTAGTTCCGGGCTGGGCAGCCATCTCCAAGGACAACTCTATACTATGGGAAAGGAAGCATGAATTTTAATAGACATTAGCAATCTCTGCTACATTGTCACTTTACTGATGGAGACATGGAGGCCCAGAGAGGTTGACTGACATCAAAAGACACACAGCAAACATGCAACAGAACTAATAAACAAGTTGAACCAGATCTTCTGACCTCAAGTCTCACACTCTCTCATCTCACAAATTGCTGTTGCTTCATTTTATAGAAATATATGTATCTAGACACTTGGGGTTTAGACTCTATTAGGTCTAAAGGGCTTTCTGATTTCTTAGACTGAGTTTACAAGATGATGCTGAACACTGGCGAGGTCTAGTTTCTGATGGGGATGCTGCTGATGGTGGTGCAGTGGCAGTCTCTCTCTCTTTCTGTGACAATCTTTTTTTTTTTTTTTTTTTAATCCTCACCTGAGGACATTTTTCCATTTTTTGTTCAGGTAGAGTGGGAGGGAGAGAGAGGAACAGAGAGAGAGAGAGAGAGAAACATCGACGTGAAGGGACACATCGAGTGGCTGCCACCTGCACAACCGACAAGGGCCGGGGACAAACTGCAACCGAGGTACATGCCCTTAGCGGGAACCGAACCCGGGTCTCTCCGGACCGCAGGCCGACGCTCTAATCGCTGAGCCAAACCGGCCAGGGCTTCTGTGACAATCTTAATTTAATTCAGCCTTCACCTGGAATTCAGACACCAGAAACAGTAATAGGAGCAGCAACAGCAATAGCTAGGTTAACCCATTCCAGGCACTAAGCGCTGTGCCTGGGTCATTCTGTTTAATGCTCTCAACAACCCTAAGAGGTAGGATCTATTGTGATCCTCATGTTATGGATGAGGACATATTGGCACAGAGAGGTCAGATAATCGCTCAAGGTCACACAACCAATATTCTCAGTGGCAGAGTCAGGATTCAAAGCCAGTCCTTTGGCTCCAGAGCCCCCACCCTTAAGTTCTCCACACACAGATGAATGTGAGGCTGGAACCCAGTGTTCTGCTCTGCCCTAACCTGCCACATCTGGGTCTCCTGTCCTGACAGTGGCTCCCGGAGAGTGCAAGGTATGATGTGCTGTCTGGGAACCAGGAAAAGGCCATCGCCACCCTAAAGAGGATAGCGACAGAGAATGGAGCCCCCATGCCGCTGGGGAAACTCATCATTTCCAGACAGGTCAGTTACTGGTCCACTGACTGTGGCTCACGTGTCCCTGTGTGTGCACAGGCGCGCGTGTGTGATTGTGGTGTACATGGAGTGGGTGGGGGTGCAGAGGGCAGATCCTGCGAGGGGAACCTGGCAACTCCAATCAGTGTATTTTCACTGCCAAGTCCTAAAAGTGCCACCTGGAGAATTTAGCCAGTGATTAGGGAAATGTAACGCAGCATCCGCTAGTGATCCCGTAAGGACTCCTGCTTTGGCTTCACCTTCTAGCACCGACGAAGTCTGATGAGCCAAAGCCTGGGCAAGAAAACCAATTAGAAAGTGCCATGACAGGCTCAGATACAGGGGGCTAAACGGTGCTTGAAAAACGTCTTTAATGGATGGTGCATTGCTCCAGTGGCAACACCGTCAGGGGATCCACCCCAGTGAGAATTAATGAGCACCTTCCGTGTGTGCACGCACAGGCACACCAAGCACGTCGGGGGAAGGCAGGCCGATTAAAGGCTGTGGTGCCTGCTCTCACCCTCGACAAATACCAGTAAGCAAATAACAGACCTTACAAGGAAATTATCTTTTAAAATACAATTGCATTTCTGATTGTTTGTATATTATGCAAAACGGACTGAAGGAAATTGCACCAGATTGAGAGGAGGTGTTTTGCATGATCTGGTGATATACGGGCCAGGAGCCACATCCAGATGCACACCCAGGTCCACTGGGGAAGCACGATGGCCCAGGAAGCCTGGGGAAAGTGGCGAATTTTGAGAGGAGCAAAAGGAGGAGGGAAGGGCTTTCTAGAAGCAGACCAATTTTTTAAAAGCAAATTTTCCTGAATTAAATTGCCAGTGTATCAGTTTACCAAAAACATGTTTTGAGGATTATTCTTTTGTAACATATTTAGTAAATAGGGTATATTTTTCTCTATGTATATATTAATATATTTATTCACCAATATATTCTATCTAAATATTCCAAAATATAGTCCATAAATACAAACATCCTCAAGTATATTTAATAAGGATATCTAATGGATGCTGTCTTTTTTGTTTGTTTGTTTGTGGTACGTGCCCCTAGCGGGAATCCAACCCAGGACTCTCTGATCTGTAGGTCAACGCTCAACCACTGAGCCAAACTGGCCAGTGCTGCTGTCTTTTTATTGAAGAATATATTACAAAAATATTTTTATTCGTGAAGGCAATACTCATAGACTAAACCTCCTATGGTCTGTAATTTCTTTTTCACTTTTAGCATGTTTAAATGAGTAAGCATTTCTCAAACTGCTACTAAAAAAAATGTGAATCCAATATATCTAAGAAGAATATAATCAGTCATAAACCATATTTAAAAAAATATTATAAGACAAAGATCTGATAAACGAGCAAATCATATGAAATCAGCAAATGGGTCATTTAGCTCATCTATTTTTTGGCAAATGGCTTTTGGTGAATCTATTGTCATATTAATTTTCATCACCTTGGGGGTGAGATGTGATATGGTTGGAGACCTTAGACTGCTTTTCTGTTCCCTGGGTCCATGGAATTACCTGAGAGGTGTCAGGGGGCCCAAGCTCCAGGGTCTACTTCCCAGCTCCAGGATTCCAGGTTGGGATGGGGGTTCAGAATGTCTCCATCCTTTGGAATCAAGCCTCTGGACATTGCTGGGTCCTGGCTGGAGGGGCAGGATTGGCTGCACTGGGCTGGAGACTTGAGTCCTGGGTTCTTGGAACCGGAGTGTCCAGCTCACAAGAAACCTCCCTCTCGGCCGCGGGTGTCCAGCCACCAGCCAGTACCCGCACATCTGCATGTTTTTGTCTTGAAACAGGAAGACCGAGGCAAAATGAGGGACCTTTTCACACCCCATTTTAGATGGACAACCTTGTTGCTGTGGTTTATATGGTAAGAGCTATTTCTTGACACTTCGATCCCCTTTGTCTGTGCCCTGTTTGGGGTTTTGTTTGAGCACAAAGCACAGAGAACTTTTTGATCTTGGGCAGCGTTTGCAAAATTCACTAGCCTGAGAATCACTTTCCTGACCTCTGCCTTACCCAGATATCAACGGTACTATTATTTTCCTAGTTGTTTTCTTTAATTTGATTTACTTTTTACTCAGATAAATGTGTTTGAAAAGGAAACTTTATATGTCTTCTTTAAAGAAAAAAAAGAAACCCACCTTAATTCCAGGCCATAGATAGAAGGCACTCTTAAAGATAAATACTGTGAAAAACTGCCAGATTGATGGTTTGCCAAGGCACTGAGTGGCTGAATTAAAGAGAGAGCGAAACAGACATTGAGAGGAGATACTAAGGACTCATTAATATGAGTAACTCATCACTTAAGTAAGACTGAGATACAATCAAAAGAATTGAAAGGAAACTTCAAAGGGAATTTTTTCGCAGTGAGATTTCATATTGATGCTATATCAGTTCCCAGCTCCACCCATATTGCCTTGGGTACCACTAGTGGCACAGGGCCCATATTTTGGGAACCACTGATTTGGTCAACATGGGTATTCAGAACTTTCAGTCCCGATCATGTTCTACTTTTCTTAAACAACTGTGATTGGCAGAGGCTGGAGGGGGAGGCATTGAACTCTACAACTAGTCAAATTTCAGCTGTTCTTTCAACTCTCTTCTTACCAAATCGTGTGCACAGCAGTAACAGTGCAGGCGGTTGGCCTGAGTAAGGCTTTGTGCTCTGTTTTAACCAGTTCTCCCCTTTCCTATTCACCTTTGAGCGGAGGTGCTAATGAGCAGGGGAGCATCAGTGAAAGTGGTCAATTGTAGGGAAGAGGAGGGAAAAGCTGCAATACTGTACAGAACTGGGCTCCATTCACAGAACTCCATATACGGAACTCTGCCCCTGCATTCCTGAGAGCTGAATCAACTCACCCGGCGTTTACTAAACACCTGCTGTGTGCCCAGTACAAGGGTGGAGTCTGTAGGATTTGTAAAGGACTGGGGGGAGGGTACAGAGTTGAGGGTACCTGTCTTGGAGTGCATGTGATTCTGTTGGGCCCACACTATTCCAATATGAAAGCAATTAAGTAGAGGCTAATTTTAGCATACTATAGAAATCACGAAATCTGCTGGCACATACGGTAACCCAAGGAGATCAATCACTGGCACTGGATTGTGACTGAATTCCCACATACTGTGCTGCAGTAGATGAGAATGTTCTGGTCTGACAGACTTGAGTATTCCAGTTCCTGGGACAGTCAGGAGTTAATTAACTGCATCATTCTAGTGAAGTCTGCAGACTCCACATATGTACTAGGCACACAGCCGGTGATTAATAAATGCTTGGTGCATTGATTTAGCTCTCAGGAATTTGGGGAAGAGCTGGAGCCCAGTTCTGTATATTATCAAAGTTTCCATCATCCCTTCCCTATTCAAGTTGACCAGACTAACTCAACGCAGAAGCCCTGACAGGTATCAATACTGCGCTTTCTTCCAAATTTTGGTCCCCCCATTTTCCCCCTATAGCCAGTTGAGTAAACAGCCTGAGGAGGGTGATGACGGTAGAGCAAAATGATTTTATTGCATGCACCTGAGTGCAGGTGGGCTGAGCCCAAAAAAGGGGTCAGCCTCGAATAACAGTTGGGGTGTAGGTTATATACGCTGCTTCTAGCTTCCGGCAGTTGCTGCTGACGTACTCTGCCTGGCCCATTGTCCACTGTGCAGTTGGGCTGCTCTGGTATCTTGTCCTGCATCTCCTGGGTGATTCATTGTCTTGTGGATAATCCAATAATCTGTACTAAACAAAAGGCTGAGCAAAGGTCATGCAAGCAATGCATTTTACATAGTTTCCACCTTTTGCAAACTTATGCCTTTACCCTTTATAATGTTATTAACCCTTTCAGTGGCATGTCTGTGATATAATATAGTGCTTGATCTTTTAAAGGACACAGGATTAATTCCCTCTATATCACATCACTGTGGTTTGTACCTGCCAGTTTCCTGCTTTCCCAGAAAAGCCCCCAAAGGCCTATTTCATTACCTTTCTTGCTTCCTTCCTGGCAGGTTTTCCAATGCATTTTCTTACTATGGATTAGTTCTGCTCACCACAGAGCTCTTCCAGGCAGGAGATGTCTGCAGCAGTGAGTATTGAAGCCCCGTTTACCAGTTAACCACCCCTATTCCCAACACACGCGGCCGCGCACACACTCCCACCCCAGGTTCTGCCCTACAGGGCCTGGCCTTGCACAGGTCCCAGTGACTACCCCACGGGCTCCAGGGAGAAAGTCTCTGCAAAATCTGAGCATAGACGATCTGGGTGTGGTTCCCAAGGCACTCTACAGAAACCTGGATGATCTTGTCGCTATAGAAGTGGCATGACAGCAGAGTTCCTTCTAGAGCTCCATGAAGCGCAGCACTGAGGGTGACGGCTGTGACCCCGGGCAACATTTGTCAAGTGCATGTTGAGTCTGAGAACCAGGTGGGAGCTCAACCTTGGCCACACAACACAATCCCTTGGGGGAGCTTTTAAGCAATGCCAGTGCCAGTTAAACAATGCCTTGACCAATGTAGTCTGCATCCCTAGGGGGTGGAGCCCAGGCATTAGGGGGTTATCAAAGCTCCCCAGGTGATTCTGTTGTGCAGCTGGAAGCGGGAACCACTGGACAAAAGGAATGAACACAAAGCCAAGTCTATCTGCCTGATGCCTGGGCTTTGGAATCATTCTGTCTTTAAAGAATACGAACTTCCTAGCATTGAACCCGGGGGGGGGGGGGGGGGGAATAAAGGGATCAAGTTCTTGCTTGTCTGCAAGAGTTGCCCAATTATCTTTTTTGTATCAGGTCTCTTTAATCTTAGTTAATAGTGTTGTTTATTGGTAAGGATTTAGTGAGATGGTGGAGTCACATGTCACTGGGGGTTGTGGGAGTCTACATTAAGTGCTCTGAGGAAGCAGCTCAGTTGTAGATTTGGCGTTTGGTATTGATGGAGCATAAATTGCATGCCCTTAACAGTGGACCTGCTTAAGCTAAGCAGAGGAGCCAGTGGGGTGTTATACAGCGGGGTAGGCAACTTTTGCTATGAAGGGCCAGAGAGTAGACATTTTGGGCTTGGTGAGCCATGCAGCTCTAACACCGGAGCAGTGAAGTAGCCATGGGCTACGTGTACATGAAAAGCATTACTTGTGTTCCAATAAAACCTTATCTGTGAACACAGATTTGAATTTCATATCATTTTTATGCCATGAAGTGTTAATCTTCTTTTGGTTTTCAAAAATAATTTTTTTAAAAATATTTTTTCTCTATTGATTTTAAAGAGGAAGGGAAAGAGAGGGAGAGAGAGAGAGACATCGATGAGAGAGAACAATTGGCGCCTCCTGCATGCCCCCCACTGGGGATCAAAAATCATTTTAAAATGTAAAAACCACTCAGCCCTTGGACCAGGCAGAAACAGGCAGATGACAGTTTCCCAACCCCATTAAAAAGCTTTCTCTTAGGCCCTCACCAGTATGACTCAGTTGGTTGGAGCATCATTCCATACACCAAAAGGTGGCTGGTTTGGTCAGGGCACATACCCAGGTTGCAGGTTCAATCCCTGGTCAGGGTGCATATCAGAGGCAACCGATTGATGTTTCTCTCTCACATTGATGTTTCTCTCTCACATTGATGTTTCTCTATCTCTCTCCATTTTTTGGGGGAAAAAAAGGCTCTTTCTTATATCTGGGTGGGAAAGTAATTCTGTGAAACAAGCCCACAGACAAAAATCAGGAGCCTGAGTTCTAGTGCCAAGTAGCTGGGGGACCTTGGGCAAGTCATTCATTCATTCAGTGTTTTCTTAGCACCTTTTAGGTACTGGTCCAGGTGTTAGGACATATAAATGAATACAAAAGAAAAATATCTCTGCTTTGTGATCTTAAATTTTGGTGTAGGGAGAGGAAAAGGAGAGAGAGAGAGAAATAGCTTAATAAGTAAGGAAATTATATAGTGTGTTAGGAGGTGATAAGTGTGTTAAAGGGAAAACTTTTTTTAAAATGGCAAAATCATGCCTTTCATACAAATATAAAATGAACACATGTCAAAGATGAATGAATGGACCAGTTGTTAAGGACTGAGATTTTTACCTATTTGCAAGCTAACAAATTAGCTTTTCACAGTTTGCACAGATGCCAGCAGAAGACATGACACTCCTGGGTCAGAGACAAAGGACTTTATTACTCACAGTAATAGCAGTAGTGAGAGTATCAGCATTTTCTTACCCCTATTCCTTGAGCCCCAATTCCCACAGGGCGACATAAAGAGCGGCATGTGAAACCTGCAAAGGCAGTGGTGTGTGTTACAAGAGAGGACCCCTGAGCTTAGGGCACCCAGATCTTCTATAATGGATGGTAAGCCTGCCTGCCCACCCTTTGCCTTGCAGGGTGACCTGTATCTTTGAAGGCTCTGAAGAAACCTGCCCCTTTCTCCAAAGGGAGATACTCTCTATCTTTCAATACTGTTTGCTAAACAAAGGTCCTTGACAAGATAGTCCAGAGCAAAGGCAGTCAGTGCCTCTGCGTGTATAACATGTGAAACCATGAGTGACCCATGGGGAATTGTCTATTAACACTATTAAGAGGCCACAGATGGTTCAAAGGGGAATTCAAAACACACGTGACTATAGGCAATCAAGAATGCTGAGCGAGCGAGAGATAGAGAGAGAGAAGGAGAGAGAGAGGAATCAAGGAAGTATGGGGACCAGATAATATAGGTGGGGCTCATTGGGGCCACCCTAGAGTCTAGGTGCCACAAGAACACCTAGTATGTGCCAATTCAGGGCAAAGTACATTCCTATGCACAGCTTGCTTTCATTGTCTTGTCTTGCCCAGTTGTTTTATTAACCCTAATTTTTTTAAAATTTTATTTTGTATCCTCACCTGAGGATATTTTTCCATTGATTTTTAGATAGAATGGAAGGGAGGGAGGGAGAGAGAGAGAAACATGGATTGGCTATCTTCCACATGATCCCAAGCTGGGCCAGGGATCAGACCTGCAACCCAGGTACATGCCCTTGACTAGAATTGACCCCGAGATCCTTCGGTCCTAAGGCTGACGCTCTAACCACTGAGCAGAACCAGTCAAGGCTACATAGCTATTTTTTTTATCCTCACCCGAGGACATTTTTCGATATTTTGTTCAGATAGAGTGGGAGGGAGAGAGAGAGAGAGAAACATCGACGTGAAAGTGACACATCGAGTGGCTGCCACCCACATGACCCAACCAGGGTCGGGGACAAACTGCAACCAAGGTACGTGCCCTTAGCGGGAACCGAACCCGGGTCTCTCCGGACCGCAGGCCGACGCTCTAACCACTGAGCCAAACCGGCCAGGGCTTAGCCCTAATTTTTTGAGGAAACTGATACTCAGAGAGATGAAGCTATAGAATATTGGTTGAGATTCAGACCTCAGTCTGTTTGACTCCTGCATCTGGGCGCTTTCCACAGTGTGCCAGTCGAACCATACTCAGAGAAGAAGGTACGGGGAGCAGCAGGGTGTGATTCAAGGCTCTGTACTTGACTTACCCTCTTTCTCTGTCTCCCCCTCCCAGTTTCCAGCCAGAAGAAGGCAGTAGAGGCAAAGTGCAGCCTGGCCTGTGAGTACCTGAGTGAGGAGGACTACATGGACCTGCTGTGGACCACCCTCTCTGAATTCCCAGGTGAGGGGCGTGTGGGAAGTGGGGCTGGAACAGGAAGCCTGAGGGTGTGGCAGATGTTCAGCGCCACATTTCTGGTGCCACCTGGAAGCAAATCCCACTTCCAGGGCAACAGGGGATTATTTTTTCAACCCTGAACTACAAATTGTCAAGAACTGTGAAGGGGCTGAGATCTTACTCTACTTAAAGGCTAACAAGTTAAGCTGCCCAGTTTCGTGCTTGCTGGCAGAAGACATGAGACTCCTGGGTCAGAGGCAAAAGATTCGAGAGCATAGCACCCTGTCCCAGAGCCTGTTTCTTGGAAACCCAACTAAGAAACGGAGGGAGACCTGCATCGGCCAGAGCTCAGCCCTGTGGTCCCATCCCAGGTCTCAGAGTCCTTACTCTACGACACCGTCTGTTTCTTGTAAGACCCTCTCCTCACATAGCTCAGCCAGGAGGAGTGAAGACTGTGGAGTTCAACTCAGCATTCCAATGGCCATGTCTGCAACTTCAAGCATTGACCATTTCTATGATCTAATCTTTCTAAAACCGACTCTCCTTCCTTATCTTTTATGTTTATTATCTCATTCTTTGTTTTGGATCACTGACACAACCTCAGTTCCTAGAACAGTTCCTGACGTACAGCAAGCAGACACGTAATGCAATGATTGACTCAACGTGGAAACTGGGGTTATTAAGAGCTGTTCTTTTAGAGGGTTGCTATGATGATCAAACAAGATAACAGATGTAGAAATGCTTGACCCAGATTTAGTTATTATTAAGAAGAAGAAGAACTATGTTATACTGCCTCTACAGACGTAGGGAGTGTTATTTTAATGTAATCCCATTTTACACAAGAAGAAATTAAGACTCAGAGGAGGCAAGGGACTAACCCAAGACCACATGACAAACGAGAGGAAAGATGAAGCCTTAGAACACATGTGTTTCTGATTCCCATCCCAGGTGTCTACTGCCTGGATTCAGTGAATCCGACTCCCCTTAGTGCCTGTATTAGTTATCCATTACAGGGGAACCAGTTACCCCAGGTGTGGGGGGCTTAAACAACGCATGTCTATTACTCACACTTTCTGTGGGTCAGGAGCCTGGGAGTGGCGTACCCGAATCCTCCACCCCCGCATGTCTCACAAGGCTACGGTGATGGTGTTGGCCTGGGGTTTGCATCTCATCTGAAAGCTCATCTGGGGCAGGATCTGCTCCCACACCCACTCATGTGGTGGTTGGTAGGCTTCAGTTCCTCCAGGGTCCTTGGGTTGAGGGCCTCACGTTCCTCATTGCCCGCTGGCCAGAGGCCACCTTCAGTCCCTTGCCAGGTGGCCAACAGGGCAAGTCCATGAGAAGAGCCCAGGAGAGTGAGAATACCAAAACATCCCCAAAGCAGTCACAGCCTTTTATAACCTCATCTCAGAAGTGACATTCCTCACTGTTGCTGTATTCTAGTCGAGAAGAAACTCACTACGTCCAGCCCACTCTCAAGGGCACTGTACAGGGTGTGACTACCAGGAAGTGGGGGTCATTGGGAGCATGTTAGAAGCTGCCTACCACGGTGCCCTGCTCCCTTCCAGGTGTCCTTGTGACTCTGTGGATCATCGACCGCCTGGGCCGCAAGAAGACCATGGCTCTGTGCTTCGCGGTGTTCTCTTTGTGCAGCCTCCTGCTGTTTATCTGTGTTGGCAGGTGGGTGGTGAAACCAGCTCTCTGGCCAGGAAGGCTTCTCTCCCAGGTCGTGGTCAGTGGCTCTTTGGGCCTGCAGGTTGTAAATTGCACCCCTGGGGGTCATCTGAGGGATTCCCTCCAGCCCCTCACTAGGACTGAGGCTCTTGGCTGCCTTAAAACTGACCTAAAGATCAGCTCAAAGTTGGGGCCTCTGATGGGGGTGGGTGGGGGTAGGAGGGCACTTCGTCCAGGTTTTGTTCCAGTACCGTCACATTTAGACTTTTGACATTATCTCCCAAAGAGATCATGCATATAGCTGTTCAATTTATCTATGGATTAAAAGTGTTCATTTGCTTCATAGAAATATTCTAAATCAGCCCTGTTTTATAATTCCTCTTTGGCTTAAAATATGGACATGGCCTGTGCCTCTCTTGACCTGTGAGAGGCCCCAGACAAAACCTGATGAGGAATCTGGGGAAGGTCTGAAGATATAACTTAGACCAGGAAATGTCGATATTCCGAGATATTCATGAGAACAGTGGAACAAAAGGCTGGGATCAGGATTATCCTAAAAATACTGAATAGAAGTTTACTTTCCTTTGCTCAGCTGGTTGGCTAACTGCCTGCCCCCACTGGGTCCTATCTGGACTTCTGATTACTTATATCACTTCTCCCCAAACTTGCCTCCAACCTGGGCACCACAGATGTTTCCATCTCTCAGCCTGGTGCTTTGGAAAAGCGGGCCTTTAGCGAGGGCACTGGGCTGTGAGTACCTACATGCCTCAGTGGTGTTGGGTGGAGGTGGGCTTTGCCATTTTCTGGGGTGTAAATTCTGCCTGGACAGGTAGGACTTTGCCGAAACAAGCCGACAGAAAAAAATACCTGCTCATCTTTTTTTTTCTTTAACCCTCTCCCTAGAACTATGCTCACTCTGTTACTCTTCATCGCAAGAGCGTTTATTTCTGGAGGCTTCCAAGCAGCCTATGTTTACACGCCTGAGGTAGGAGGGATGTCGGGGAGCAGCGGGGCAGTGAGGGAGGGAGCCTGGGCTCCTTGCTGGAAAATGTGTCCTTGGGTCTGAATGACAACTATGAAGCCCTTCATTGTGTCAGACTCTCTCTCTCTCATGTTCCGTGTAAAAGTTCTAAATGTTGCAGAGGTGTATAAACCAAAAGTTAAAGTCCCCCCGTTCCCCTTTCCTAGAGACAACCTTCTTGAATAGTTCAGTGCCTGTGCTTCCAGGTTTTTCCTAAGCATTTACTAATACATGTTAGTACATGTATGAAATGGAGTAACTAGGCCACTGAGAAGAGTTAGTCAAGGGCCTCATTAATGGTCTGGGCGGGACTCAGGGAAACCGACGGTGATAGAGCAGCACCGCAGAGCCTGCGGTGGCGTGGGGGTGGCTGGGGACACTGCTGGCATCCAAGGCCAGAGGGGGTGTTACAAGGCCCCAGGAGAAAGCTGTGCAGAGAGAAGCTGGGACCTTTAGTTGCAGGAACAGGTGGCCTGAGACAGCCTGGAAGGGAAGGAGCAGGAAAATAAATATCCCGGCTTCTTTTTCACACATCTCCTGCTCGTCTCCCACTGGGGCTTCCCATTGGCCGAACCAGGCGGAAGCCAGCGGGCCACGGAGCCCTCTTCGGTCCACATAGGCCAGCACCAGGTAGAGAACGAGGTGGGGAGCGTAGAGACATTCTGGAGAGACAGATGGAAGCCAATGAGCACAGAACATACAGATCTACTTCGTTCTTTCTAACAGCGACTCTACTATACTGTGCTGTACTAGACTGTATTATACCATATAGTACATATATACAGAATATATTATATACTCTGCTCCCTGAATAGTATATATACTATATATTATATACCGGGCTTTACTATGTACTATATACACCCTATTATATACTTACTATACTATATAATGTATATGCACTCTATACATTATATATTGCACTATACTATATAGTGTGTATATAGTATACATTATATACTGTACCACACTATATGGTACATATATACTATATATTATATACCATGAGTCACTATACTATATATACTCTATAGACTATATATTATATTATCCTATGCACTATATATCTTCTATGTTATATACTATACTATATATAATTATATGTGTTAATTATTAATTGAGATATTAACATATAATTACAAATCACATGTTATATTTATTATATAATAGGATATATAGTTCTAGTCTAATACATATATACATATGTATGTATGTATATTAAGTTATAATGTTCATCAGTTGCTGCTGAACTGGAAACTGGAACGTGTAATCATGGAATACAATTACAGCAGTTAAAAAGAATGAGTGAGGTAGCTGTCTATACACTGATGTGGATAGGATTTTAAGGCATATTGCTGATACGTATAGTATGATCCCATCTATGTTTTAAAAACAATGCTATATATTTTCTATACGTACCCCTATTTTTTAACAGATCTGGGAGGAGATGTCCCAAACTTCATAATAGTGGAGTCCTATGGGAAGAGTTTTCCTGAGAGGAGAAGTGGATTAATAGGGAATTTAGGTTTTTTACAAGAATATATGTATATAGTTATATGTTTGTGTAACTGAGTGAATGAAAATATCATGTATAAAGGCATATGGTATGCACTCAAAAAGTACGCGTTGCGTGAATAAATAAAAGAATGAATGTGTGGATACCAACACAGAAGAACTAGAGGACTATACGTGGGAATGTGACGGTGGGCTCAGTGTTGGGATCGTGCGTGCGTTTGGTTTTGCCTCTTGGGGCTTTTCATTCTTTTTAAGCTTTCTGCCCCGGGCGTTATGCTTGTTAGAAGCAGGCCGCCCCCTGTAACTAATAACCCCGCCCCGAACAGAATGCGCTGACTCAGCAGAAGTTTCTCACTCAGGACACAGTCCCATACGGGTGTTCCAGGCTGACGGACAGCTTTCCTCCCCACAGTGCTTCGGGGACCCAGGCTCCTTGCATCTTGTGGCTCCCTCATCCAGTGATTGTGAACCAAGGGTGATTTCTGCCTCCCCGGGCACATTTGACGATCTTGATATATTTTGGGTTGTCACAGCTGGGATGGCAGGTGCAGAAGTGTGACCACAGCTGGTGGGTAGAAGCCAAAGATGAGGCTAAACATCCCATGGTGCACAGGACAGGCCCCAGACCGGAAGGGAGGGCAGAGGACACGCCCACGTTGTAATCCCCAGGTCCTGCAGGCCGCACAGTCCCTCTCGCTTTCCCCAGAGGAGACTAGGCGCGTGGCCACCGAGAACCCGTGTAAACATTTCAGTCTCTCTCTTTATGACATGCCTTGAAAGTCATGACCAGAGCTTCAAGGTCAACTAGTGGAAAGTGGCAGGCAGGACAGTACCTGGATCCTGAACAGAGTTCCTGGCAGAGTCTTTGGCCACCACCAGGGAAGGAGGACCCCCTTACTGAGTTCCCACCCACAGCCCAGCCTCTCGCCTTCTTTCTCAGTTGAATTCCCTGCCTCCTTTGGGATAGGAATCTTCACCCCAGGAACCCACCCCTTAGTGGGGTCACCCGCACCTGAGGGATCCACCCTAACTTCAGGCCCGCCCATGGGGGTCAGTGCCGTGGTTCCTGAGCTGGAGCGGGGGGACCTGCATTGTTTCAGGGCCACGCTGGTGGCTGTGTTTCAGGTCTACCCCACGGCGACGCGAGCGCTGGGCCTGGGCAGCTGCAGCGGCATGGCAAGAGTGGGCGCGCTCATCACTCCGTTTATTGCTCAGGTAGGTGCTGCCCCAAATGCAGAGAGGATGGATGTGACAAAAGCCATTGTGTGGCAGGTACTTACTATACGCTGAGCCTCTGCCAAGCCCTCTGTGTGTATTATGTTATCCCAATAACCCATTTTACGAGAAAAGAAATACTGCTTGCAGATGAGCAAACTTAAGCTCAGAAGGGTAAAGGGATTTGCCTAAGCTCACGCAGCTCCAAGTCGAGAAGCTGGGGATCAAACCCAGGCCTTTCCCACGCAGAAGACTCCTGGGGTGTCATATGACTTGGCCAAAAACAATTTCGATGAAAACAAGTCAGCGAACATGATTCTGAGGGGAACAAACGTCCCCGTCCCTGGTTTCTGAGTTGGATAATTAGGTGCAGGGGTAGAATTTTGCAACTCTGTGTGTGTCTTGAAGCATTTCTACCTATTTTTAGGGATCTTATTTTGTAATCTTTTGAAAAAAATTTTGTTTTCTTTATTGATTTTAAAGAGAGAGGAAGGGAGAGAGAGAGAGAGCTAGAAACATCAGTGAGAGAGAACATCGATTGGCCGCCTCCTGCATGCCCCGCACTGGGGATTTGGCCCACAACTTGGGCATGTGCCCTGACCGGGAATCTAACCGGTGACCTCTTGGTGCATGGGTCGACGCTCAACCACTGAGACACACTGGCTGGCTTATTTTGTAATCTTTTTACTTTTTAAATATCTACGTTTTTCCCCCCTTTTTTAAAACCACTTTTTAAAGTTGAAATAAAAGTTACATCACACAAAAATTAACCATTTTAAAGTGAACAAATCAGTGGCATTTACAATGTGCAGTCACCTCGGCCCTAGCTGGTGCCAAAACATTTTCATCATCCCCCAAACACTCAGTACCCGTTAAGCAGTCACTCCCCATGTCTCCCTCCCTGCAGCACCGGTCTGCATTCTGTCTGTGCAGATTTTCCTCCTCTGGGCGTTTCATGTACATAGAATTTCTACACGCGCTGTAGCCGAGTAGTTCTGTTCCTCGCTGCTGTGTCGGCCATTGTGTGTCACTGCTAACTAACACTGGTTGAGAGCTTGCCATGTGCCCGCATGATGCCAAGTGCTGCTAAGGGATCCTCTCATTAGGAGGCGGACACTGCCCTTCTGCCCATTTGCCAAATGAGGAAATGAGGTTCAGCCCTGCTGTGTGATTTGCCTGGTGCCTTCAAGCTAGGAAGTCAGCAGAGGTACTGCCCTGGGAGAGAGTGTCATTATAAGGAATACAGACGCTTGGGCTTGATGGGGTCTGGATTCAAATCCCAACCCCACCTTTAATATCTGTATGAACTTGGATATGGTAGTTAACTCTCTTTTGAGCCTCAGTTTTCCCCTCCATAAAATGGGGGCAAAGAACCTACCTCCTGGAGTTGTGATGAGGACCCAATGGGACAATCACACAGTGCTTACAAGGGGGCCTGGCACTATCAATACCCTCGGAATGGTTGGTGGTCCATTCAGAACGGATGCTCTCACTGACATGCAGCTTCCTCCCCAGGTGATGTTGGAGTCCTCCGTGTACCTGTCGCTGGCAGTTTACAGTGGCTGCTGCCTCCTGGCTGCACTGGCCTCCTGCTTCTTGCCCATTGAGACCAAAGGCCGCGGACTACAGGAATCCAGCCACCGGGAGTGGGGCCAGGAGATGGTCGGCCGAGGGACGCATGGCACAGGCGTCACCAGGTCGAACTCTGGCTCTCAGGAGTAGTGACCTATGGGGGGCTGAGCTGGTCTTTGAGTCTGTGGAGTGCGGGGAGCTGGTGGAGCCCGTCTGGGGCACCGACTGTCACTGCCGACACCAAGAACTCACCACCCAAGAGTACAACCCGGACCCCGGTTGCTCATATTCATTGAGACCCACCTGCAGATGGGGAGGCATTTGCTCTGGGGGTTTTCTGTATGTGTGGGTGGAGGTTTGTTGATAACCTGTGGATCTGCATGGGAAAACGGCCACACTGGGAGTGCCTGGTGACACGGGTGGCCGACCAAACACCATCCAGAGTCAGGCGGCCACACCCTTGGCGAGCACCAACCAAAAGATCTCCACAAATACAGTCCAGGCCCAGACCCCATGAGACCTGCCGCCCAGCAACCAGACCTGTTCAGTAGGTTCCTCCTACACCCCAAGTCCTCAGCTTTCTTCTTTGAAACTGCAGGTGACTCGGGTGTGTTTTAAGCAGCTTTGTCTTGGGCTTCAGAAACCCTCCCTCAGAAGGGGCCTCTCGGTTTGCCTCCCTGGGCTGGGACTGACTCATGGAGACTGGCAGAGGGACATGCGTTTGAATTTGAGCCACGTGCTCCACCTGGTCCCCTTTTGAGTTGCAGTCTCTGGATCCAGGGGATCCACGTGTGTCCATGAGGACAGCTGGGCTCGCATCAGATGGCAGCCCCCGAAAGCTGTTACCCCGGGCACTGGGCACCGAGGCCAAAGGGAGGCAAGAATCAAGCCCAAAGCCAGAACAGGGTCCTCTCTTTCAGAAGCAGTGAAGGTCACGTCAGGGCTTCTTTTCTTGCCCCCTCCTTGGCCAGGCAGATTGGTGACTCGTGGGGAGAGAAAACAGTGAACTCAGGTCTCAGCGTTTGGGGTTTTGAGCTCGGGTGGACAGAGAAAACACAATGACACGACGCCAACTGCCCACTCCCGGTGGGGTCAGGGGACCAGGAATCCTCCCCCACCCGTTTCTCTGCCGCCCTTGCTCGCAAGGGTTGGCTTGGTCTTTACGCAGCAGCAGCTCTTGGGATTCCAGCCACGGAAGCCGTGGCACGGATGCCATGGGGTGGGGAGAAACGGGAGGACCCCTTTATGTGAAACGTGTACATTTTCCAAGGAAGAGAAGGGAGGTCGTTTGGGGTTGGGGTTGGCCTTGGAAGGAAGGGCCGATACCATGTCTCGGCAGACAGCGTCCACCTCCTGGATTTGGTTTACAGGAGCCTTGTCACCATCATGAAGGCAGGGACCCTAGAGAAGGAGGGAAGACGCTGCTGGATCTCATCAAAGGCCGGAGAAGCTTGACCCTCTGCTTGGAGAGACCTGCCTGACGTCAACATTGCGAGGAAGCCAAATGTGTGCGTTCATCTCTTATTAAAACATGTTGGTGATGGACATCGCAAGGGGCGCAGTTTGTCCATTTGTCATAATGTCTCAGTGACAGTTCAGCCTAATGGCCTCACCAACCTTGTCCAACCAGCATCATCTCAACGCTTAAATATGCTTTTATCTAATCATCTTTCCCATCAGGGGGAAATGGTGTACCGCTGGCCCCAGCATTGTGACTTCGAGTCTGTCGGAAGCAACCCTTTCTTGTAACGGTGTTGAGGTCACTGGGGGCCACTTCTTCAGGCTCAAGTCCTAGGTCGACTGCAAACACTCCTGTGTCCCTGGCACATGGGCTGCAGCCCCCTTGGCCCGGGAAGTCAGGCAGAGAGGAGGCGGCTTGGCAGAGCTCCTGTCCCTGGCAGTGTGGGTGTATCCTTGAACCCCGAGTGGCTGGAGCTCTAATTACTTCTGGTCTGCTGAGCTCTCGTGGGTAACACAGAACCTTCGCTTGTCTCTTTTTGCCTCCCAGCTGGCCAGACACTGCCGGATGAGCATGTGCACTCCCTTTACCCTCAAATAACCTGCAGGAACAGGGGCTGGGACGGGGAAGGAGTGCTTGGTGGGCAGAAATGTTTTCCTGGGGCTGGGGCAATCGACAGCACTCTCTTCTAGAGGAAATGAAAGTTAAAATTTCCTTGCCTTCTAAATTGCCTGCACTTAAAAAAAAAAAAAAAAAAAAAATCAATATCACTGAATGACACAAGAGGTGCCACAGAAATTGCCCAAGCCATTAGCTGAGATGTTTGTGTCTAATTTTGAACTATCCAAGAGCTCCCGTTTCCATTAATGGAAATGTCTATTTCTCCGTGTGCTAGGAAAGATTTCAGAAAACGGCAAAAGACATTCAGTGTAGCCGGGGTTATATAATTTCTTTCCCTTACTTCAAATACTCTCAGGAATGCGTAAATGACCCTGGCAGCGTTGGCAAAGAGATGAAAGACTATCTTAGGACTTTGAAATGAACATGGACAGTCATTATTTTTAAATAATATTAAGCAACAGAGAAACTTGAAGGATGAGATTAGGAGTCTCCCTTCATTACTACTAATAGACATCAAAGGACTGTATACCATGATCTGCAGTGAAACCAGTCGATGGTAGCTTAAACTATTAAAATATTACTTGTTCACTTAGCAGCAAGCCCAAAGTCAGGCAGTTCTAGGAAAGGTTCAGCAGCTCAACAATGGCATCAAAGACCCCACTTCTTTTTGCCTTTCTTCCCTGCCATCTTCTGCATGTTAGCCATTTGAAACCTCGTGATCACAAGATAGCTGCCAAAGCGCCAGACATCATATCTATTTTCAAAGGAGGTAGAATGGGCAAGGAGCAGTCCCAGAAGGTTTTCCTTCAGACAGGTCTATTGTTTTTGGTTAAAAGAGAAGCCCTTCAGCAGATTTACCATTGCTTTGCATTGGTCAGACCTGGGTTCCATGCCCATCCCAGCATGAATTCTTCCCTGCAGCTGGGGGGAAAAGGACCCCCTTCTCATTGGATCATGGAATACCCATGGCCTCTTGAAAAAAAAAAAAACTGGATTCTGTTTGCATGGAAGAAGGGAGACCATGGTGGTGGGATGGGGGATGACGGAGAGGAGCTTGCTGCAGAGTTCTCATCAAGGTTGTTTTAATAGCGACTGGACTCAGATTCATTCAAATTAAGAAGTACAGTTTTATTATAAGGCAGGAATCAGTAGTTAGTTTCCTACAGGGGGTGTCCAGGGAACATAAAAGAGTGAAACAGAAGTAGAGGGAGCAATAGAAAGAGGGGAGGACTGTGGTAGAGTAAGGAGCACAGGCCCTGTCTTTCCAGAAAGGGGGTGGCAACTACTCAGCTGTGGCTGACCTTTGTTTTTTGCATGATGGGACCTCCCAATTTTCAAGATAGGAATCTGGATTTTTATGTCAACTCTCCAAATTTTAATATGTTGGGTCAAAGGTGTTTAAATGACGTGTGAGTCCAGTAACATTCATCTGCAGGCCAGGTCTGGTTGATGGGCTTCCAGTTTGCAGCCTCTGAGAGGTGAGAAAGATCTTGGAAACAAAGTAGAGCCTGGCCTCCCACACAAATGGGTCTGTGGCCCCCACTTCCACTCTTCTTTGTGGACCACCTTCCTTCTGCTTTCTGTGGCTGCTGGACATGCCTAACTGTGCATATGGCTTCCACTCACGGTGATGGCTCAGCTCTGCAAACATACCTGACTCAGCTGTTCAGTGTCCCACTTCCGAATACTCAGGGGAGGAAGCTGATTGGTCCAGTTTAGTGTTGGTTCTAGTCCTGGTCCAATTAAGATGGGCCTGGGGGGTTAGGTCAAGAGGTATACAGACATGGTGGCTTTGGCCTGCTCTTTCAGCTTGGTGGCACAATTACAGGTATGTCTGAAATGCACAGCGACACCTATGCAAACTCTTGAGTCTGTTCGTCATCACTATTCCGGATCGTGTCATGGTATGTGGTCAGCATGCATGGAGTCTCCACCATGCATCAAGCATGATATTCAACACTGAGGATGCAAAGAAGAATAAGACTCGGTCCTTATCTTCACGTACTCACAGTGCAGTGGGGAATCCAGGCGTAAACAGGTCATTGATGTGGGTGCTAATGGAGGAATGCGAGTATTGTGGGAGGCACACAAGATGTTCACCCTGCATTGACCCATGTACCAGGAGGTCACCGGTTTGATTCCCAGACAAGGCGCATGCCCAGGTTGTGGGCCCAACCCCTAGTGGGGGGCATGCAGGAAGCGGCCAATCGATGTTCTCTCTCATGGATGTTTCTATTTCTCTCTCCTTCTCCCTTCCTCTCTCTCGAAAATCAATAAAGAAAAAAAAAGATGCTCACCTTGAAGCTCTAGAAGGTCCTGAGGCCCCTTCTTACTCCTCAAAGACTCAGTGGTTTCAGTTAGACTTGAGTCACTGGTGAGTTTAGTGGATTCTAACTCTTTGACATTTGAATATACATCACATACAACCATTCTCAGTTCATCAAGAATATTACTTCAAGTGCCCCTCCCCCCACCATGCCAGCGAACAGAGGGCTTTCTAAATTCACCAGTTACAAAACAATCCCACTCAGAATAGCATCAGAAGGAACAAAACACTTAGGAATATATCTAACAAAAGGAGTGCAACATTCTTACAAAGTACAAAGCATTGCTGAAAGAAATGGAAGGTGTCAATAAATGGAGAGACAATCATGGATCAGCAGTCTTAAAATTGTTCAGATGTCAATCAATACTCCCCAAATTGAACTATAAATTCAACACAATCCCTGTCAAAATCTCAGCTGGCGTTTTGTGCAAAAATTGGCAAGCTGATTGTAAAATTCATACAGAAATGCCAGGGACCCAGAATTGCTCTAAAACCCACACATATATATTGAAACTTACTCCAAAGCCTTAGTAATCAAGACAGCGTGGTACTAACCTACAGACAGACACACAGATGAAGAGAATAAAACAGAGAGTCCAGCAATAAAGTCATACATTTATGGTCAACTGACTAAAAGAGATAATTTTTTCTGAATTCCTCAAGCTGTCAATTCATTGAAAACGCAGTTGTAGATCACCTTCGGGGAAGGAGCGGGCACCTCAGCGAAGGGAAAGGGAAGAAATCAAACATTGCCCCATCTCCCGCAGCTCCAGGAGCAGAATTTCCCCATGCGCCTTCTGCTCTGAATTTTAGGACAGAATCAAGACTCGAGGAAGCCACATTGCAAAGAGGTCCTCACCGCTTACAAAAAGATCAGGAGTGTCACTCTGGGTCTGAATGTGAACTTGACTAGCCCCATACATTTTTGTGAGTTCACCGTGTTCTGAGTCCTATCGGGGTCCTGATGACAACTAACGTTGACCGCTTTGCCTGGGGAATTTTAGGTTGGGTGAAGAAACAACTTGGGTCAAAAAAAACTGAATGCTGTGTTCCACTCCCAGCTCCAGAAAAGGCTCCCACCTAACTCGTGAGCCTGTGAGTCTCCTAGTCTTGGCTAGGAGGAGGAGAGATCTAGCTCCTTCTCAATGTGTTTGCAGAGAGAGTTGGGGAAGCAGTCCAACTGGTGGATTATAACTAGAGAGTCCCCCACCGCCACCCAACCTGGATTCCATGTTGTGTGATGGTTGAAAGTGAGGTACTAGAATCACAATTTCTGGCCCCGAGTCTCCATTCTGTCCCTTTCCTGCTCTTGACCTCATTCTGCCTCTCTGCCTTGGTCTTTCCTTCTATGAAATGGGAACAAAAGCTATTTCATGGTGGGGGGAGGAGCAGAGGGGCTGTGAGGATTAAATGAGTCATGTGTGCCAGAGTTTAGCACAGAGCTTGGCACCCAGTTAGAATGCAACAGATTTCAGTTATAATAATCATTATAATTATTCATTATAGACACGCCTCAATTTCCAGTGGGGTTATGTCCCAATAAACCCATCATATGCTGAAAACTACCGTAACCCGAAAACACATTTCATAGTTTACTGAACATTAATTACAGCTAGGTGTAGCCTACCTTACACATGCTCAGCACACTTTCGTCAGCCTACAGGAGGGCAAAATCATCTGACACAAAGCCTATTTAATAATAAAAGTATCAAACATCTCCTGTAATTTATCATGTGTATTGCTTTTGCTCCGTTGTAACATTGAAAATTTGTAAGTCAAACCATCATTAAGTCAGGGACTGTCACTATCATCATTATTATTATTGTTGTTGTTGTTGTTGTATCCCTCCAGTGGTCCCTTCTCAAGGGTTACATGGTGCCCCTGGGACCACTCAGTGGGCCACTGATGAGTTTGAGATCCTGGATGTGGCACAGGCATCAAATGTTACTGGTTTCATGCCTCATCTCTCTGCCCCCTCCGCACTCCACTTCTACATATAACTTCCTATGAAACCTGTTACAGCAAC